TTTATTGATCCAAAATGGGAAATATCGGCGGGACACTGTATCTGAGACTGCTGTGAAACGCTGCCCTAACGATACCAATATTGGATCTTTGAGTATTGATATTGACCCAATTTAATATCAGCATGAATCATACATACTTTAATGACTTATTTTATAGTGTGGAATGATAGAAACAGGGCTTGCACAAGGGATATTTTTCAAAAAGAGAACAATAACTAACAACGTCATTTATGAGAACAACTGACCAATTCTTTATTCAGAAGAAAAGTGTTTCTAGGAGTTTTCTAATATTGAAGATTTTAGAGGCAGGCTGATATAAAGTATATACGATATTTTAATTGGCTCATCTCAGACAAATTTACAACATCAATATCGACTTTGGACAGCCCTACCTAAAGAGCTCTGATGTTTAAAACTTTTTGGGGAGGGTTGTGGTTTTTATGGTCCAGCCCAGGGACCTTATGTATCATGTATTCACGATAACTTCACAACAACTGAACTGAAATCCTGAGCTATCTCTATAGTTATGCTGCTATAGGCTTAGACTTTTGCAGGACATAGGGACCCCCATTTCATCATTCTGCTTCATTCTCTCTCTGTTCTCCTATTCTGCAGAATCTGTTAGTTCAATCTCTAACCTTCTGCTCTCTCTGCTTTTCCTCAGAGTAGCTTTGCCTCGTCTGTTCCTGTTTGGCTGTGACGTCATCCTGGAAAGAAACATCAGCTGTGCTGCTTCCATCAACACCCTTGTTTATAGATGTTGGAGATCGGCCTGTTTTCCAGTGTGGTCCTGTTTCTCTGACCGTGACTGAGTGGATGTGCTCTCTTCGTCCTCTGACATGGGAGCTGCCTTGGAGCTCGTCTGCCTGACTGTGTGTTTCCTGGACGGGGCCGCCTTTTACAGCTGCTTTTTGTATCTCTGCTTCTGTCTCCTTGAACCCCAGTCGGCCTCGGCAGATGGCCGCTCACACTGAGCCTGGTTCTGCTGGAGGTTTCTTCCTGTTAAAAGGGAGTTTTTCCTCTCCACTGTCGCTACAAGCATGCTTAGTGTGAGGGATTGTATTTGAGTCAATGAGTCAATGCAATCAACTGGTTTTCCTTAGATAGAAAACTTTGTATCAATTTGACTGTATGATCTGGTTGAACTGTAAAGTGCCTTGAGATGACATGTGTTGTGAATTTGGCGCTATAGAAATAAACTGAATTGAATTGAAAACTGAATTGAATCTGAATCTGACCTGAGATTAAGGAGCGGCTGAAGAATCCCATAGAGCTGCACTGGACTAGACTTCAGAACTATGCTCCTTTATTTTGATTTTGTCAAAAAATGAATAAATAAATAAATAAATAAATTTTTTAAAAAATTGTTAAATGAAGTAGCCAAAGCAAACTGGCAATATGACTAGCAAAATGTTGCCAATAATAAAAAAAAATCAAACAAGATGTGAATCAACTAATAAAAAATAAAAAAAAACATGTTTTGAAATTTGTATATTTATTATAATCTGAAGGATCCCTTAAAAGGCCTTCACATGTAGCCATGATTACATTATTTACATTAACCTGCCTTGTTTTCAATAATACCCATTTTCTACAATGGTTAACGATGGAGCTCTACAGCCAACAATGCAAAAAGTGGAACAAGTTTAAGATGTGTTTCTGTAATGTTTTTCTGAAAAATATCATCAGAATATTTTCCAAGTTGGAAAAATTTTACTTTTTTTATGTATTTTGCTGTGAGAGAGCAGCTTACTTTCACAGAAAAACAACTGATTGCTTGTGCTAATAGGTATGTGAAGAAATCTATGTCAATGGAGTGGAAGTGGAAAATTTGGCAGAATGTAACAGGGTGGTTAATAGAGAGTACTGGGATCCACTAGTGTAGATTCTCAGGCCTATGACCTCAAACACTAAAGCTTTAATAAAAAAAAAGGTATGACGTTTAAAGGAGTCAATGACTCACATATCCTTACATTTAGTTTTTTACGTTGTTGCACCTTGTATCTCTCCAAGCAAGTTTAACAAAATATTTCCACTGCATGTTCCAACGTGTGAATTGCTCTGGGGGAAGGGGGAAGATAAAAGGCTGAATTGGAAGTGTTAGCTAAGTAGAAACAGAGATCCCCTTCCTCTGTTCAATGTTCATTAGGGGGTTTTTTCTACACAGGGATGAGGTTTTTTCCTCATATTCTATTAATTATTATTAAATAATTAATTGAAATAGATTTACTTTCATAAGATCCAGCCTAGTGCTTTGTAAATGTAGCTTAAACAGTTTGAACAAATTCAATTTAACTTTTTTTTGCTGGAGTTGAATACAAAACAAGATTATGTTTTTAGTAATTTTCCTTGTATTAAAGCTGAAAACATGCTTTTCTGCCACTTCATATCTTAAAGAAGCATTGGCTTTCCTCCATGCATGCATTAGTTTACACCATAATTCCTCTAGAATGGATCAGTACCTCTGTATTAAAACCTCCCAACAGAAATATGCTGCCAACACCATGTTACACCATGAAAAAATTCCATAAATCTGCAGTGCTAGCTTTGGAAAGAGTTAATTGACTAGAACTAGTTTTTGCTGCATTTTTTTGTGGCTACTAAAGAGCCTGATTTGTGGAACTCTCAGGTAGCCCTTCGTTTTGATAGGATCTTTTGATTCTAGAACTCAAAACCCCTTTATTGACATGCTTTATAATAGAAAAGAGAGGCTAAATAAAAAGCAGATAGTAAAAAATAAATCAAAGCATCAGTCAAAGAATGAGTTTTGGTTTTATGTTGCAATTCAAAGAATCAGGGTTCCGTAAATGGAATTATGAAAGCATTGAAAATATGTTTTATGTTTGGGTTCCTAATCTCCAAATAGTAAATTATTCAAGTTTTTGTTTGAATAAAATGTCCGAACATTCTTCTTTAGATATTGCTGACATATAAAGGACATTAATAGAGAAAATATGCTAGAGCAAAGCATGCAAAGCTGGTATATTTCCACCAGAGCCTGGAGCAGTAAGCCCTTCTCAGCACGGCAGCATAGACAGGAAACACATGTTTTCAGCCATAGAACTGCTAAATGTTGTTTGCATTTGGTCCTTAAACAGACATTCTGGTGGAGTTGCAGGTTGTAGTTGTTTTACTGAAGACTGAACAATAGTTTAATCACCGCTGACAGAGAGTGCTCAACATCACTCAGTGAACTAGTTTAGCACCGTCTCATTGCAGGAAGTTCTCATTACATACACAGTGCACCAACCCCCCACCCGCTGTACCTATTTGACAACTACCTGTTTTGAGTTGATTACCTTAGGTCAACCTGAAAGGAGAACACATGAGAAAGCTTCACTGGGTGGGAAAAATACTCCCACCACACAGTAGAGAGCTCAGTTTTGGACTCCGCCCTCACCTGTGGAAAATAGCAGGCTTTGTACATGGCTTCAACAGCAAATTGCTACCTTTGTCTGTCAGCCAAATGATATAGAGACGGATTTGTGTGTGTGTTTAAATGCCACAGAAAACAGCTGTCCTTAGTTGACATAATTGCTTGTTCACATGTCTCGCAGGGAGTTATGTTATGTAATCTTTGTCCTAACTGTCATGATCCCTGTTTTGTTTTTTTGCTTGTTTGTTTATTGGTGATTTTTTTTTTTATCAGCATAAATTTCTATCTTAAAAAACTGTTAGAATATATATCTTCAAGACACATTAATGTAATCAACAAATTTTCAAAAGGAAATCTTTAATCTCAGATTTTGTCAATTTGAGACCCTTTATTAGGGACCTTTATTGATGACCTTATTTGATATTATTCAGTGAGGGTTATTATGCATAGTAATTACACACAAATTAATATTTCAAGTCTTAACCCTGGTAATTATATTAACTTATTATGTACAGTTCATGAAAGAATGTCAGTACATTTGTAGAAATGTAGAATAGTAAAACAGACTAACAAAATATGATTCAGTAAATCAACGACTATGGAAACAGAACTTTAGACAGCTTTGGATTATTTGGCTCTAGATTCTGGGACCTATAACGTCAAGTAGCACAAATAAGATTTGTTTATTTTTTTCAAGTTTCTTTTTTTCACCCAAACTGGGTTTTTTTTTGCCTTTTCTCTCGCTTAGAAATGGGTAATCATGAGGAATACAGCAGTGTTAGCCTATGTCCTGGATCTGTTTTTGTATTAATCCTTAAACTCCACCTTATCTTCTCAAAACCTTTGATGGGCTCCTCAACCCTAAAGCTGTAGAAATGCATGTTTGTTGTTAAACTTTTTCAACCAATGTGTCCTATTTTGAACTGAATGACTGGTGCAACTGATGCAATTTTGCAAATACAATATACCTTTGTATTTTTTTGTGCAGAAGAAAGGTTCTAAATCTATCTGTTTTAAAATTGATCCCAGCTGAAAAGGGATTTAACATCACCTGAATTTTGTGATCTCTGCCAAACAAAGAGCTGAGCCAAAAAGCTCCAAGGGAATAGGTTTTACCAAATGTGAATCATCTCTGTCGTTAAGAACACAAACTCAACGTGACCAGATTTGTTCTTGTCTTGCACAGATGGAGTCTCTTTCTTGCTATGAATACAGTTAGACCTTTAGAGGGCAGACAAAGATCAAGCAGTCACTTGGTGGCAGATTTGGAAATAAATTTTAACAAGTGGAATGTTAGGCTTGGTTTGCCATGCCTAAGAGGATTTGTTTTTTAGGTTGTGTTTGGAAATGTCCATGAAACTGGAAACTGCAGTTTCAGCTTTTCTTTCAGCACCCTTTGTGAAAATGTGTCTTTTGTTGATTTTCTTGTCCGGTCTTGCTGATTCTTTCATGAGCCTGAAGCAAATGCATATGGTCTTTGTGAAACGATAAAGCCTTAATATTTACCTGGAAAATTTGCCACTTAAAATACGGAACCTGAGCCAAATGATACAGCCTCGCCAGTGTTGTATCATCCAAATGTTATTTAAAAAACAGGTGTGGTGCAAAGAATGATACTCCAAGATTTTCTTTTTTAAAGATTTATTTTATCAGATGCATTCTGTCAGCAGGCAACAATTGATATAAGCATTTTGTCAAACAGAAAAAAAAGCCTTAATAGCAAGATAATAATACAAGCTGCTTTCATGCAAAAAATATAAAAACAGAACTTCATTGTTTTAGTGTCAAGTCATTTCCTCTCAGCTTTGACACAAAACACAAACCAGAGACATTCCAGCCTGAATGCAGTTACACAATATGTAAAAATATCTACTTTTAAAAAATAATTTAGAGAAAACAGGAACATTTGGATAAAAGTCCAACGTCACCGATACATACAATATAAAGATAGATGCACATCATTATAGCAAAATGAATAACTTCTGTTCAGGCTTAAGGGTTGGTTTTAGAAAATGTTCCTAGGATTAAAGTGGGCTATTCCCACTGCTCTCTTAACTGTTAAAAATAGATCAAATAATGAGAAATAATAATAGGCCACTAATATGACATGACCTTGCATTAAGGATTACTTCAATTTGGAAATATAAGCATTTTTTTAATGGACACTTTCTCCTCCTGACTGTTCTTTACTGAAATAAAATGTATCACACACATAATAAAGCTTTGGTTCTTTGAAAAATGTCTTTTTTTCTCAGTGGGCTGCATTTTTCTGAACAACAGCTTGAAATAGATGCTTAAGAGGCGAAGTGGTGTGCCTCAGAATGTAGCAGGGAAACCGCTGTCTGTCTGCGCAGATTAACACAGCTAACACATTTATGACACTTTACTGTTTGTGTTTTTCTGTCATTTTTGGACAATTTTCACCCCAAAACACACTTTGATAACATTTTGCTAAAAGTATTTCTCAATTGACCATATATCAGGAACTGAACAAAAACAAACAAACAAAAACATAATATTTCTATAGAAAGATACATCTGTTTTAAAAAAAAACTTTACAATGAATGTTACATGAAAGGCAATAACTATAAAAAATATTGGAGATAAGAGTAAAATACTGTTAAAAAGGAAGTACAACAGACACGTCTGTTCTGGACCAAAATCACTTCCTTGAGAAATAGTGTCTCTATTTATTCTGTACATAGAAATAAATCTACAATATAATACAGCTACACAATATTGTGAAGAAAAGTCATTTTGAAGATGGTTTTCCAAAATATAACTGGCAGGAATTATAAAACGGTGTTATAACAATACCATATTTACATAGGTAGATTTCAGCGACTTAAAATCTTTCTAACACTCTTTAGACATGCCTTTGTTGGCCTATTTTTAGCAGTTAGCCTCTTTGCCGTTGGAATTAGATTTGCAGTTGGTTGTGACGGTGAGTTGTAGATTCTCCTCCTGTTCCTTCGCCTCCTGCCTATCCCGAAATTCTCCCTCGATGTGGAAACCAACCATTACCTGGTAAATCATGGTGCCAATAATGGCTCCAAGGAATGGCGCACAAAGTGGCACCAGAAACCATCCATTTCTAAACCTGTGGGAAACAAGATACATTAACATCACTAGGGATATTTAGTTAAAGACATATAAAGGAAATATTTTAACCATTCTCCATGTAAATATGGAAGTGCATAACCCTTTTCCTACATTCCATTGTTGTTTAGACAAAAGAGTAATTTAACTTTATTTACTTTTTTCATTTTGTAATTTCTGATGTACATGCACTCCTCTTTAAAACAGGGAGTAGTCTATGTCAATGGTGGTTTTTAATTCTGATTCCACAGGACATAACAATGTAGCCATTTTTAAAATAAAGAAAACACCTTGTTAGGCAATAAATCTCATCATAGCTAAAGGCAAAACTTGTGAATAGTGTATAATTTAAGGAGAAATGCAGGGCATTAAGGTAAAGGTAGCTAATATATACAGGGCATGACACTCCACATGTATAACCTAAAAATGCTGGCAAAAAATGAGCTCAAACTTGGTGCACTTACGTGAAAACATCACTTCCCCAGCCAGCCATGGCAGTAAAAAGACGTGGTCCAAAGTCTCTTGCAGGATTGACAGCGTAACCAGAGTTAAAGCCCATGGCCAATCCAATGACCAGAACCACAAATCCCACTGTGAAGGCCTCCAAACCTTGTGGGATTGGGTTGTTGTACGGGTCCACAATTGCCAGAATGCAGACTATGAGGGCTGCTGTGCCAATAATCTGTATCAAAAAAAGATGTGGGCTCAAAACACGGGTTTCATGTTTCAGATATCAAGTTTTCTGTTATGTTTCTTTTTTTTGTTATTTTCGTTTTTTTTTTTTTTCTATTACCTGATCAAAGAAACCATTCACAAGAGTGAGATGTTTCCCTGGGTAAGTAGCAAAGATTCCAGCGGTGGCATTTTCCCCATCAACAGTGAAACATCCGGTGTCCCACAAGGCATCTAAAACAGAAGAATAACGCTAAACTTTTGCTTTGGTTTTTAGATGATGTACTCTGCAGTCTGACACATAAAACTCTTAAATAATAAATGAAAATAAATGGATAATAGTGGATCATCCCTCGGGGTCTCTGCTTACCATAATACATGCCAAAAATCACAGCGGCAGCAAAAAAGGCTCCAATTGTCTGAAAGAGGAAGAACATGGGGAACTTTCTCCACTTATCTCTTCCAAGCAAGCAAAGTGAAAAAGTCACTGCAGGGTTCAAATGGCCACCTGTAGGGGAAATAGAACGACATGTGAATATCATGTGAACCACAATACCAACATTAGATAACACTAGAAAATAATGACTTTATTTTTCCATAAACAAAGATCCATCCTCAAAAACAAGCTTTGAAAATAAGTAATAAATCATTAATGTCACATAGAGGCCCATTTGAATGGGCTTACCTGATACTTGGCCACAGACAAGGATCCCTAGAGTGGCAGCAAAGCCAAAGGCAAAGTTGACAGTAAGGAACTGTCCATGGGTACCTTTGCTGAGTGAAAATTGGGCCACAGAACCACAGCCAAACATCTAAAAGAAAGAAAAGCAACTTAACATTTCTTCAAAATAACTTAATGTACTAAAAATATAATTTACTGTTGCTGCAATAAAATGTCAGATCTTGTTGTACATGTTTGCTTGTGGCAATAATCTTTTCAAAATTTATTTTAGAAAAAATCATAATTGTGCTGACCTATTAATTTGGGATTTTAACTTATTTTTACATTTCCTAACACATAGCAGTCTTGTCATTTCATTGGCATAATAAAGAAACAACACTTTTGTCATTGATCAAGGTCTGAGAAATGAAAATATTCCTCTATGATTATTATCAGAGAACCAAGTCAAACAAAAGCTATTGGATGTGGAAATAAATGAGCTCTATTGTACATATGAAGGTACACAGGACAACGGTGCTCTGTATGTGAGAACAGGTCGCTAAGCTGTCCTAAATTTGATCAGGAACTGCATTCAGAAAGCTTTCAACAAAGAGGCTTTATTATGAACTGTATTCAACGAAATGGGAAAAATTGTACCTGCCTAATAAAAATAAAATATAAAAATGTGGAACTTTAAAACTCAAAAAATGTCAATTTCACGGTGGGCCAGAAAAAAAGTATTTATCACAATCAGCAGATGCTGGAGTCAACTGTTTTCATGTGGTAAATATAGAGAATAATTTACAGTTTTGTTGTTCTATGCCACAACGTTGATCCATCTTTAGGCTTTGACTTTCAGAAGCCTATGATGAGCCTGCTATTCAGCATAACCACACCTCTCAGAAGTTGAGGTTATGATTTGGGGGTAACCACATTGAGAGGGACTGGCGCCTACACTTACAAAATCACACGACTCTTTGGTTCTTACCATAAGACTACTGCATTTAAGTTATGATGAATTATGTTTTAAAAAATAACTTCAAGATGTCAAGATGTGACCACGAAGGCTGCAAACGATTATGTTTACGGGTTGGTTCAAAGAATGTGCTTCAATTTTTGTAGCAGAATGGTGTAAAAAAAAAAAAAAAAAAAAAAAAACGCTAGCAGGAAACTCAGTTAAATTTAGTTCAAATTTGTGTTGTGAGGGGATAGACTCAAAAACATTTCCTTTATATTGTTTACAACAAAAACAAAATATTGAAACTCTCAATAAAATGAAACAGAAGAATCGTATATCTATCTATTTCAATTTAGCTTTATACATTTCATGGAAAAAATGGCATCAGATGATGCCATAACTCATGAACAGGAAACTAAAGTTGGAAAATGTGCCAGCAGAAAGAGGTATGTAGCTGCAGCACAGCAGTGCCGAGTCTTTAATGTCAGGGGGATTAGATTACAGATGATGAACCCTCAACTTTAAAGTCTCTGCTTCCTTAGTCAGCTTCACAGTCTGCTTTACAGGTTTTTCTCTACTGTTCATTTGAATTACACTGAACCAGCTGATTCATATGGTTATGCTTTCATACTACTCTGCTACTGCAGGGCTTTGAACACAGTATGAGAGCTTGTAAAAAAAAAAAAAAAAAAGAGATATTGTCTGCAGCTAGTCTGAGGCGCAGATTTGGGGATCGTCTGAGGGGAAATGAACCTGCTGGCCACAATCTTCAAAGGACAATTTCCACTTTTAAGGACTTGATTAACCTGCTGCATTTTAATTAAATCAAACTTGTTTGATTTTCTTATTGGGAAAATCAATAGTGTCGATTTGAGTAAATGTTAATATCTTAAATGTATAACATTATACTATCATTTTTTAGATTTTTTTTGTCATGAACTGAACTAAGTCAACCTGTTTGGTGATGCAATAATGAAATTACATCATAATAATGCAGGTATGCAGTTACACACGCCCAAAAATGTCCTTACTAGTATTTAGTAGTTACTAAGTATTTATTTATATTTGCAAACAAACTTTAGCTTGCTTCAGGAACAAAATAGTGAAAAAATTATTTAATAAATTGAAATAATACATTTTCATTTGTGAAATATAAGAATTTATGTTGGGAATAGGTATAAGACAACATTTCACCACAGTAAAACCCAATCAAAGGTGACAATGATACCTTTTGTTTCAGGTATGCAGAGGACATGTGTGACCTGAAGAATAACTTTGCCACACCTATTTACATCACAACAGAGACAACTGCTACCTTTTTACGTCAAAGATATTTCAATTTGAAAAGCTATCTAGCAGAAGCATTGTTAAAGATAATCCAGGTTTTAATGAACCGAAGTAATGCGAAGACAATATTTAACTTTAAGGTTCCCAACTTATTAGGACGTCTCAGTGTAATTTAATTTATAGAAGCAGAGGAATTGAATATTTTAAAGCGAAAAATGTAATTGAGGTATAACAGGACAATGAGTCTCAAAATTAGTTATGAAAAGCAGAGCAAAAATTATTTTCCTATTTAGATAAAATAAAAAATGAAACACTTTGGCATTAATGTTCTAATGCAAACACACATGTGATTGACTACAGTATCGGCTACAGTAAATAAGGTTTTATTGATATGGCATGCAGCCCCGAATAAGATTTTACTTTGGCGTTTAATCTCACTACACCCAACCTGTGCAAATAGCATTCATTAATCTCCTTTCAAGTCTTATCTGCCATCATCTATTACTTCTAAAGAGGTTAGATAAGAGGGCTGCCATATTTATGAATAGTTTGAAGGGGAAGAATATTTTAAAAAAAACTGCCTCACAGGTACAGAGGTTAAGTTTGATCAGAATTTATAGTTATAATGTAATGCTATTTTGCTGTTTATTTATTTAGTCACCCATATCAACATATATATCTATGTTGTGTTTGGCAAAGAAAACACAAAGCATGTACAAACTATTTCTTATTAAGATTTTCACTGAGTCCCATTAGAAGTACATTAGGACCCTTTTATCTATATGTTCTGTTTTCTTTTTTGGTGTCTTCTACACCACAGTTAATACCATGGTTCACCACGGTCTCATAATTATGAAATTATCCTACAAAGTAAACATCTTCAGCAGCACTTGGAGCACATGTACACTAACTTACCACAAGGATGAGAGTGCCAAGGCACTCTGCCAGGGCCTGGCGGAGCAGCTTGTTTCGGATCTGAAAGAAGCGGGCCAATTTGTCCAAATAAATCTTCTGTCGACTCATGATTTTGCAGGCTGGTGAGACTGTGAGAAGATCCAAACGCCACAGATGCACGGGGCCTTCTAAATGGCTCTGAATGTGGAGGGCCAGTGCTTCTCATTAAATAGTAGAGATGGGCTTGGATTTGGAGAATGGGACCTGCCCACTTCAGGAGCACCTCCCGTCATGTGTGACTCACAGACTGGTTTCTCTCCCCAGGCCTGTCCACCCCTCCCTAAAGCAAATTAACATGCAACAAACAAGCACTTTTTTTTCTTTGTATTCTTCCACTCTTTTCTCAGTATAAAAAAGGCAAATATATTTGTGTATGTATGTTGTCTTCTTGTGAAAATAATACAAATATCAAAGTTCCCATTTCTAGACCAAGCTTTGAGAAAGCAGGAAACTGCTATGCTTTGTTGCAGATCTAAACCTCTTCTCTAAATTAATGCAAAGTACAAAACCTGCGCTGATACCCAGCTGAACACAGCCTTCCAAAACTGCTGAGTTTCTATTTTCCCTGTAGTTTCATTCATTTATGGTGGGAAGAAAAGTGTGATGTGATTAATGTAAATGAAATGAACATTTCTAAAATACCGACACTAGCTAGTATCATGATTCTGTAATATCATGTTAGGCTTAAGACTTACATTAAAAATAATTCCTACTTGTAACACTGACAAAACAAGAGATATCCTAATCCAATGATTGATATCAGGAGAGGATCCAAATTCTTTACTAACTGTAATTTCCAGTATTGTCAACCTGCTGGCTGTATACAGGTCAGCCCCAGCAAGATGTGCAAAGTATTTAACCCAGGTAGCAGTGGAAAAGCTATATCATACTCTGTGCATATTATTTTGATCAAATCCCGTGTTTCTGGTTTTAACAAAAGCCTATTTCCTCAATTTCAATGATTCGGAAAAGGGCGAAAGTGGTTCTCAACTAGCCCCACTCTGTGTGTTATGTAACAAGCACTGCAGAGGTGTGCTCAGGTATACTCACATAATGAGTCATTAAACTGCATGATTTTAAACTCCAAGCACTTTTTTCTAATCATAAAAATTGTGAGTTTTGCTTGCATAAGATGGACTAGAAACACACTAAAATGTATTGAAAGTTGTTAACCAGACAATAAAAGTAATATTATATATATATATATATATATATATATATATATATATATATATATATATATATATATATATATATATATATATATATATATATATATATATATATATATATATATATATATATATATATATGCTACATTTGCCCAGCTGCAGAGAGGATATTAGCAGCAATGATATGAGAGTTCTGTGGAAGAATATTGGAGGGTTCTGTGGGCCGTTATTTCCATATCAAATAAATTGATGTTAAGTGCATACAAACAATTTTCTGAAGAATCTCTGGTTTACATGAAATATTTATCACTTGAAGAGAGTAGACCATGAAATCCACATGGATGGATGTTATTTGTTTCTGCTTTGCACAAAATTGTATGTTTAAAACCCTGAAATATAACCTAGAGTAAAAGGCTTACTCCCATTTTCATCACAGATGAATGTAAGCAATCCATCTTTGCAGAAAGTATGAGCGCATTTTGAACAGTTTAGCACGCTCCCTCCACAAAACTTCTTACAGCACCCTTTTCTTGTTATCAACATTAATAGGCACCAGGGGTGGTCTCTTTTCTGCTTCAGCTCATCTGTTTCCTGTTTCAGTATATTGTGGGCTCAGATACTACAGTATATGTTCTGCATTCCTTGGTTGTAACTATTTGAGCCCCCTGCCCCCAAAAACTAATGTTCTTTTCATTTTCTTCATTTTTTGATTGTAGCATCTATATGCTGGTTCATCAGTGCAGAAAGCTTTTCTAGCATTTATTTTTTATCAAGAGGGACTTTGATAATTTGCCACAGTGCTGGTTGTTCCCTGGGAGATTCCAGAGACTTGATGGAGTAAAGGTCTAGACTCTGCAGGGACCCTTTGGGTTAAAGTCTAAAGTTATTATGTTATCAATATTCTTGGCTGTTTTCTTAGCTTGAAAGCAGCTGAGCTTCTTTTCTGTGACCACAGCATGTCTGCTGCTATTTGTTTAAAGTAAGAAGTTACTCACTGCATCAGTTAGTTTTAAAAAAATGGCCCATGGAGAAATTAGCCAATGAGAGGTTCTACTTTTTTGTTTTGTTAAACCCAGGTAGTGACTGTTTTTTTCAAAATACTCTATCAGTCCGTAGCAGTCGTGTAAGATACCATCAATAACAGATTATTGCGTCCCTCAGCTTATTTGACTATAAGGTTTGACTATGATGAAATCTTTTATTTATTTATTTTTTCTTTTCTTGAGCCAACACTCCTCTGATGGGAATAAGAAGTAAATCATCTCCTCAATAATTTTTAAGGTCTAAAAAGTTGCTCCTTATTTTGACTCTCCAAACTCCTATTTTCATGCATTTAAACAACCATTCCCATGTAAATTTTTTATCTTCTTTGTCTATTATATTATTTATGGCACCAGTTGTCAACTATAAGAGTCTTGAATTGGAGGCAATAGGACTATTGCTGAGTTCTTCTGAAAATCTTTTTCCATATATCCAGGAATCTTTGTCTGTTCTATAATACCCTTTGTACGGAGCTCCAATATTTCGGTGACCTGAAGACCCATCCTTTTAGGCACATTCCAAGTCTGATATGAATCTATAACCACACATTGCCCACCTGAATCTTTGGAGTCTGTTGGTTGGCATCAAGTCTGCATTTGGCAAGTTGAATTATGATGAGACTGCTTGTTTACTTCTCTGGAATGAGTTCCAAAACAAGAGTGAATCTGCAATCCTCCCCCTCCGTTCACTATTGGGTTTTTTCTTTTAACAAAGATGGGTCCCATTACCACTCTTTCAAACCAGTTGTCTTCTTTGTCCAAGATCAAAACAAAATGTCCATCAAATGTGTGTTCTTTGAAAAAGATTGCTGTATAAGTCGAGCCAAAGTTTTATTGTCACTGATTTATTTCACACATTCCTAAAATCTCATTAACACTCATCTATGTGGTCGTCCCAGAAAGTGTGACCATTTGTGCCCTTATCAGTAGTCACTGGCCTTTCAGCACTTTATTCAGTATTTTTCCAATCTTTGTGCCTGTTTGACTTTTATAGCCGAAAATTAGTTTTCCTTGACTAAACTATCTGAGTTAATATCTTTCTAAATGAGAATGTGCAATTTATCTGGGAGAATTTCCAGTCTCAGCGCAATTTTAAAAGCCCTATTCTGTGAATGTGTCTGATTAATTTCAAAGTTACTTCCTCCTAACTACATGGTAAAACTGACATGCAGAGTCTTAACAAAACTTGTATGAGCAATGTTTTAAGCAAATTTAAATGGACATGTTGGATCGCTGAAGGCAGTCTGAGTCATGACATAGTACGGGCATGCATTCATCATTAGTGTTGCACAATGGCAACACAAATTTTCTGCAGTGAGTATATGAAATTCTGCACGAAAAGGGAGTGACACCATGAATCAGAGAATAATAAGCCTTTTTTATTACTCTTTCAAGTACATTTGAACAGTTTGAGCAAGTCGCGTTTTTTCAGTGTTCTACTGAAGAGTTTAAGATGATATCAAGGTATGAAATTGTTTGGTGAAGCAGATTTGACCGCTGGGCTTACAAAAAAATATATGCATACCGATAAAGCTTTTAATTTCAGCTTATACTCCATAGTTATAACAGCCTTAGCATTAAGCCTTTTCATGCCTTTGTTCTTTCATCACTTTTCTTTTGCAGATTTTTCCCTTTTGGATTTTTCCATCTAAATGGTTCACTGGCCAGGTTATGTATTAATAAAAACAGGACGGTTGATTTAGTTTTAACTTAAAAAAATATTATATTTTGGTGGCAACTTTGTTATCTTAAATCAGAAACTTATCAAGTTACTGATCAATCATAATAAATATATTTCTTCAATTTATCCTGCACCATACTGCCATCTTCTGTTAATGCTTCCTTACTGTTAGTTTGGGTTCCAATAGGTTTATTGATCTTTTTCTGTTATTTTTTTCTCATATTTTGTTTGCATAACTTTAGCTTTCTAATGGGAAATGCACTAAAATTAGGCCTAGTTTTGCATCTATGGCCATTTTTTATTTATTTTTTTATGTGAAGCTAACAAAATTTATTCATTTTGAAAAGTCGAAGGGATGTCTTGTACTCCTTTCACTTTTTCATGCAGTTTACTGTGTCTTTCTCTCTTAAATATCCTCTTGAGTTTAGTCAAAATTACGGCAGAAGTTTAAAAACCATATGATTTTACACATATTGCCTGGAATTGTTTAGTTCACCAGTAAATGTGTAAAATAGAACGGGGAAAGAAATGGTGTATGGCATCCAAGAGTGTCTTTTAGGGAGCCATCAGGATTAAGAAGTCTGCATAATACCTCTAGATTGTCTTTTAATTTTTCAATTCATTTATCTTTGACTTTGCAATGCAGAGTTCATAAAAAAAAAAATCTGTCAGCCAGATGTGTTTGTCTGTTACTGAGCCATTGTGCAAGTTGTTTCCATTGAGGAAGACAGAACAGGGGCTGACAGGAAAAGAAAGATTGATATCCTGGTAGGTCACATATTCTTGATCAAATACAAATCATGTTGTCTGTAACTGTTCTGTGGCATGGCGTACTTTGACATTTTACAGCTTCTGCATCTTCTATTAAGATGAAAAGGTAAAAAGTAACTCAGATCGAGCATTTGGGAAACATGCACTATTATTACAAAGTTATCGGCCGGCCCAACACCGTAGTGCACTTTACAGATCTGTGCCGTTAAAGCATTTTGTTCAAAGTGCATGTGGCAAAGTAGGGCATGTGGGGGCAAAATAAGATCAATTACAGTGGCAAGTCTGCCAAAATGATGATAATAAGATAAAAGTAGCTATATTATTTTGTCATGCAATGGCAGGTCATGGGTTCCACAGAAGTCTAGTGTGTGAGGTTGTTACATGGGTAACAAGCAGCTTCCTTGGGACATTTATAGAAGCCCAAGCAATTCCTGCTTACACCATCCAAGTCAACATATCAGAGAGCACATTTCACAGCCGCCAAA